AAAAAAAAAAAAAAAAAACAAAAAACAAAAAACCAAACATACCCTATCAGTAAGTGATAAAACCCCCTATCTACTGACCCTAAAGGCTTTACTGCAAAATGACAATTAATCTTCCACAGATATTAAGTTAAATGATTAGTCAAAATGGAATGAAAAAGAAGTAACCACAGCAAAACACACTCTGCAATCCCATTTCAGACAAATCTTAGGGGAAAACCAGATAAAAGTATGAAGAAGCAACAGCAATGAAAGTTATGGTAGTAATAAAAAACCACCTTAAATTACCAATGAAAAATAGGGAGACAAATCTTGACATGGAAAAAAAAATGTTCCTTAATGATAACACCAGCAGTCTCCAGGGCCTGTTTTCACAACACACATGTAGATGTCTGAGCAAAGTTCAGAAAGCAGCTCCCCACTGCCCCTCCTAGAAACACCCCTAATCCTCACTAACCCCCACAGCCTCCTCTCTCCCTGCATGTCCAGGCAGAAGCACTTTGCCGAGGCTCCTGGTATCAGTAGTAAGTGCAGAGCTGTCTCCTCTCAGATGCCCTCAGAGCCTGGCAGGGCCTTTGGCTTCAAACTGCTGGCAAAGCATAAGGCGGGGGGAGATGGGGTTTTAAGCTGCGATGAGGGAAAGAGGGTTGAGAGCAGAGTGCGGAAGGGGAGATGAAGAGCTGGTGTGTCACACTCCACAAGAGCCGTGCTCACGCACTCAGCCCTCTTTCCCGCGGCTCTCCAGCCATCCATCCCACCGCCTCTCCAACGGACAGCTCCTTCAGCCTTGGAGTTTTTCTTCCCTTCTTCCTCGCTGGTTTTCCCCCCTCACCCCCTTCCAGCCCTGCACCGCATCCCCTGACCTCCCTCGCCCTACCCCACCGCTCCGGCAGGGCCTCCCTCAGCCCAGCTCCCTGCCCTCGGCCCCCGCAGCCTCCCCGCCTCCATCACCCGGCCCTGCTCACCCTGATGCCCTGCAGCACCCGCACTTGCTCCCGCTCATCCAGCCCGAAGGAGACCTTCCTGCCGCCGTGGCTGCTCTCGCTGCCCCCCATGCTGGCGGCGCTGGGGACGCCTCTTCCCACCGCGCCCCCCCCCTACACACACCGGGCTGCCGCGGCGAAGTGAGCGCCTCTCCTCTTCCCCCGCCTGCCAACATCCCCGCGCCCCATTGGCCGCCGGCTGCGGGACGGCCAATAGCGCGGCGCGATGCTGGCGGCCAGGCGCGGTGCATGCTGGGGGCTGTAGTCTGCCGGCGGCCGCTGAGCGGGCGGCCTGGCACTGCCCCGGAGGCAGGGTACGGGGCCCCTGCGACAGACCCACGGCGGCACCGAAGCGTCCCCGGGCTCGGCCTGTAGCACCTTGGCCTCGCTGGGCTTCCTCCTCCATCCACAGCTTCGGTTTTGAATGCAGGATCCAACCACCCCGAGAACTTCACTGCACCCCACCCCTGGGGTTCCTTCGCTGGGGCACAATTACCGAAGGAATAAAACCAGCCCACGTGAAACCACGCAGGACATCATTTTTGTTATCTGGGGACTCGTCCCATTGCTTGAGCTCTCAAGACAAGGGCACTGCATGGTGCTGTTTGCTCTCCTGTATGGAAAAACTGTGAAAGAGCAAAGGTCTGGCGAACATCAAACCATGATCCCTCCCTAAACACTCTCAGCAGCCTCTTGTTTGTTTCTAATCTGCCACCTGCTCCCTTCATCTGATGGCACCCAGCTTTTGTACTGAAAAAGCCCATAAACATTCCTTATTCATTCATTCCTTATTCACCTCCGCTGTTCTCCCAGGGTTTCACAGACCTGCATCATTCCTCCTCCAGGCTGGTGGGTTCTCAACCATTTAATTGCTCCTTCAGAAGTTGTCCCGTAACTCTGCTTATTCTTCTCAACCTTCCTTCGGCCTTTTTCAGGTGTAACTCCAGCCAGGTGCCAGGCATCACCTGCAAAGATCCACGAGGGAGAGCAGGCAAAGAAACAAAACCACACCTCAAACCTACAGCTGTGCCTTCCTGTGATCTCCAAGAGCCCAAGGACACCCAAGAGGGCCCACCACCTGCAGGACACTGATGTGGAAGCAGCTGTGATAATGGTGCAGAAGCTCTACAGCACCTTAAATGCCTCTCTACCTACACAGAAGCAGAGGATGCCATTGCAGTTAAGTCCAACAGTAGCATCTCCCTGGGCAGCTTTCTGCATGGAACCTGGAAGGAGCTCTGTAAGGTTTTACTGCGCTATGACCCAACCCCAAGGTGACCCCACTTTCCAGCCTGTACCCCCGCCAAAGGGACCCTGATGAGTGCTGACTGCTGCCAGCACACTTCGCTGGTACTCAGCAGCCACCATGTCCTCCCTGCAGCCAGGAAGCTACCCCGATACACAGTGTTCATTTCAAAGCCCAGAACGAGAAATAAGTAGAGTCAATTCCAACTTCCACACAAGCCTTTTTCCAAGCAAGAGAGAAAGACATCCTTGTAGCCAAGACCCCTGACACCAAACATGCCCAGGAACAGCAAGATCTAGTTACCAAGAGAAGAGTCAAAGACTTCACTGACAATTATTTAGACCTGGAGACCATTCACTGCACAGTCATCTGCTGTCCTAGTAATAGCCTTCCGAGAAGGAAAGATCCATCTCTGACAAAAAGACATCATGTTATTCCATCATTATCTGCCATATTTGTTCAGAGCTTTAAAAAAAAAAAATAATCAAACACCCAAAGATTATTTTTTTCCCCATAACATGGATCATTTGAGAAAGAAAGTATGACCATTTATGCCAAACTTAATTTTATTTCTTTATTTTACAAACAAAAATATACATTTATTCTATATTTTCTCTCTTTGCATCCCACTCACACACATAACACACTTCTGCTCAAGGACCTTTGGGAATATGGCCCAAAGCACTATATATACAGAAAAATACAACAGGAGGAAGGTCAGTCCATGACCTAGCGCAGAAGCTCCTCAGCAGCAGAACGTGGGACGCTCCAGAATTACTGGAGTCCTGCCACCAAAGGACAGGATGGACATGTTGACCACCTGCACAGGTGATCCTTCAGCAAATACTCCTTGGGACGGAAAAGCAGCAGCCCCTTTATTTCTCAACTGCTTTAAAGACCTTCATATCTCTTGGTTCTGTCCAAGGCCCACCAACTCCAGGGAAGCTTTGCAGTTTTCCCCATATTTCTAGTGGCAGCTCGGGAGCAAGAGGAGCCACAGCAGGGCAATTTGGGTGCCACATTGTCCATCCCTTTCAAAGTAAGCAAGCGAGCATGGCTCAGGGCAGTTCACAGCAAGTGACAGGAGGAGCATGGAACACTTATCTCATGTTGCAAGGGCTGAGTTGCCCAGTTACTTGTCCAGCCATTGCATGGAAGGGAAATGTGAAAGGCTGTTGACCCAGACATTGTCTTGTTGACCAAGACAATTCAGCTCTCGCATGTGGACAAATGGAAGCCTTTTTTCTCAAAAGTAAATTTAAAAAAAAAAAAAAGGGGGGGTGGGGGGTGGTGTATTTTCAAGGTGCCAGTGCTACTTAGGGGCCTGCAGGGCAAAGTCCACAGGCAGAAGAGAGAGGCTGCATTGTTCATTAACACAACAAAAAGATAAGCAAAGGGCCTGCATAGTTTTGGCAACCAATATGAACTTTGTGTTCTTACCCAAACTTCCCCAATGGTGGGAACACCCGGTAGCAAATGCTTTCCCCTCCCTGCTGATGATCCAAACTAACACCTCCACACCACACCCTGCATGCTCATCTCCCAGAAACTCTTGCCTCAATATTCTTCAGGAACAGCAGTGAGCTGGGGCAAGGGATTCATACAGTCCCCAAACATTTCAAATGCCCTCTTCTACCATCTCTAATGGAAAGTTGCTATTGCTTATAGCAGATCTCCACCTACCTGGAGGACTCAGGTAGGAAAGCACCCCCAAAGCTAGAGGAATACACCTCTTCATCCTTGGAGAGTACAGTATGTCCCAGAAACCAGTCTGACGCAGCTTTCAGCTGAACAGTCCCTGGACTGGAACACGAGGTCTTGAAACTGTGTGCCAGACAGCTCAGACAACAGTAGTCCCTTTTCCAGCATGGAAGAGGTTAATAAGAAGTTCCAGATAGTCTTTAAGTGAACCACGCTCCACATGCACATAAGTATTTTCAACATATTGAGCCATAAAACCTATTCAGACCAGTAGAAGTCTGGGGATCTGAACTGCAACGTAAGAGGACACTGCCAGAGAAACATATCTATCTCCCACTTGCCTCCCAACTTGGAGCACCAGCCAGCTTGATCCCAGCACACCTATGGTGTTTGAGAGTCTCCAGTCACTAAATGCTGACAGCCTGGACTCACCATGCACTTCTGCTCTGCCTCAAGCACCTGAACATTGCTGGAGCCTTCATCTGCAGAGTCAAGTTCCTCCTTCACAGCACTCTCCAAGACCTTGCCAGAGCCATGAAACAGGGTGCAGATGGAAAATGCACCTACCTCACAGCTTCTATTCTTGAAACTCAGCCCTGATTCAGTGTTGTTCCCTAGATTTTCCTGCAAGCTCAGATGCACAGTAGTGCAGCCTCCATAGACCGTTTCACAGCTACTTCAGATCAGCTACACAGCAGCACTGTCTGTCCTCCTGTCTCACTACTGTTCAGTCAGATGACATCCATGCTGCTGGCTACTAGCCCCCCAAAATACTCCCAGGGCACAAAGAACAGTTCATTCCTCTTCACACCTCTCTTCTCATTCCCACACACTCAGAACACTCAATTAACCCCTAGCAACTGCAGTTCATTATCTTCATCAGTATTAGCTGAAACTAGAGATGAGCCCAGCTGACCAGCTTCCCTCTTCAGACACTGCTATCACCACCTGTGCTGTTGCATTATGACAAGACCCAGGCAACCACACTGCTTGCAAAAGCCCAGGAAGACCATCTTTGGTTTCAAACACCAAACTCTTTCTATATATGTACAATACAGCAGTCAAATCAACACACTCATCCCTAAAGATCATTCCCCTAAGTGGCAGACAAGTGCTTTCAGTCATTGAAAAGGAAGAGGTTCAAGTCAGGCCTGTCTTCTGGGTCATATTCACATCTGGAACATGGAGGATCAGGAAGGTTCAGTGTTTATAGGTTTATGAACAAAACTTTTCTACATCATTCTCAGGTAGCAACAGAAAACGTTCTTTCCAAGAGGATTTGGGCTGCAAACTTAGTTCCACAATAGGTTTCGGAAATCCTAAGGAAGAGAGGAAAGCCATGGCAGATAGCCAAGGACAGATTTCCAATGGATATCCTAACAGCTGTGGCATCAGGGAGCTTGGAAAGAAAAGAATGAGGCATTGTGTGAAGCCCTGCCTTAGGCATTGATGGCTTTCCAGCGATCACTGTCTACGCTGTTGATGCTGCCCACGTGATACGGCATAGAGGCCACGTCATCCAGGTAGGCTGTGGTGTCAATCTGAGTGCTCGAGTAGAACCCAGAATCCATTCCTTCCTTCTTGGCAACAGCATAAGGGTGAGGCAGGTGCACATCCACATCCTCAGGTTCATCCACCTGACATTTGTAGGAGAAAAGGATCTTCGGTTCAGACCTGGAGTGATTGAAAACACACGTGTAAGCAATGCAGTATCACAGCTACTCATCCTTAACAGAAACTCATCAACACTAAGAAATTGTGTATTCAGACCCTAAAAGCTCTTCATGTTAGCTTTCAGTCCTGAAATATACCTAGCAGAGTAATTCCCATAAAGTAATGCTAAATGTAGCTTTGGGCTAAGTCACCTAAGAAATAAAAATGACAGAACCCCAACTCCAGTGTGGGAAAGATGTTCTGATCTTTGGGAGTTTTGAATTACTGAGGGCAACAGCATCCAAAAGCCATTGGACTCCACAGCAGCCTGGTTACTGGCACCAACAGAACAACAGTCCACCTCAAGTTCCATCTGTGCACATCAGGAAAACCAAAATAGAAACACCTGGGGATCAGCAGTTTCCCCCTCTAACTCCAGACACTGTTCCCTTGTGATTTCAGAAGGCAGAAGAGGCACAATTTGGTATTTTAGGCATATGTTCTTAGTTATTTTAAAGCCTGCTGTTTCTCGCTTATAGACAATACAAGCTAAGGCCTACAGAAAAAAAAAAAACGTTTTTTCCTACCAAGATGCATCTCCTCTGAATGGCCACACGGCGGCAACCCCGACCCAGAAATCACACTCCACAGCGCTTCAAACTGGTGACTCTTGGTCCCAGTACCCTGAGGAGCACTCAGCCAAGGGGTTACCTAATCCCTACATTCTTTCTACCGAAACCCACCCAGGAGACCCTTTAGTCTTCTGGGACTCAGTCTCTCACTAACCATTTAGTCACCACCTCCAGCAGAAAAACTTTGTACTAAACAAGATGCAGACACTGAAGAAGTGATCCTCATCAACGTTTGAGAGGAACATTACTATTAACTCTACTTTAAATACAAAGAAGTCTTAGATAGAAGCGAGCAGCCCTGGGTCACACAAGAAAAACTGCAAGGCCATCAATTAAAAACTGGTTCCCTAACTGGCATTCTAGTCCAGCAGCTTCATTCTACAGATATTCTACAGTTCTCCCAAACTTGGGTGCAGAACAATTAAATCACCATATATACCCTCTAAAATCCCATTCCTGGCTACTCACCCAAAGAAGCCTTTCAGGAATGCCACATAGATGAGAGGTGCAAAGAAGCTGAAGTAAAGGAACGTGGTAGCATCAACACAGCTGTCGAGGGCAAAAGGGAACATGATGGAATTTAGCACTCAAGCACAATACAGCTGCATAACACCCGCCACAACCCCCCAGAACGATCCCGTAGCCCTCCAGAGTGCCCAAGCAGAGCACAAGAAAAGTCTTGTGCTAAACACATTCAAACTGGTGCAAAGTAACACACATTGCCATCAATATGTGTCACTGCTCCTAGACACTCATGAGGGAATCATGCCAAGACCCAAGGTCTGACCAAGAGCAGTCTTTTGACTCTCAGAAGTGACACTGATCCCTGCAGAACACAATTCCATACGTGAATAAGGTATCCCCAAGCTATTTCTACTTCCCTCCCGCTTACTACCCATGAAACTTGAGCCGATGACCAGGCATCAGTGGATTCAAACTATTACTCAACACTTGAAGACCACTGCAGAGCTCACAGCTCCACAGAGCTCTCCACTGTGAGTCTCCTGACCACCAAAGAGGTCTTTTGGCACAAAAGAGATCTAACAACTTTATTCCTTCTTAGGAACACAGCACAAGTTTGTTTTCTTGGGAGAGGCAGTGTTGAAACACACTCAAAAGCAATATGAGAAACTGGGCTGCAGACTTGCTCCCCCAGTGTACATACCACAGTCCTTCTATGATGTCCACACAGAGAAGGGCACTACCCAGGCCTTGCACCAGGTTCAGCAGCGCCAGGATTCCAGCATAAACATAAAAACTCTTCCTGGCTGTAGGAAAGACACGGACACAGGTGAAGCTCAACCTCATAAGCACCAGCCCAGCGTAAATCTGTTTGATGGAGATGACAAACCCAACAGAAGCATCTCACCATCCTGTCTGTTTAAAAACTCCTGAAGAACTAAGACTGCATGTGTCTGTCCCATGCTGGCAGGACTGATGGAGGTATTAGCAGACTAACCCATACCCTCCTGCACGTGTGTACACACACAAGATGGGCTTTGAAAACACTTACTCATGGCAACACATGCACAGACTTTCTTGGCAAACATCTGGAACCAGTCACATCATTGAACATAAGAAAAACAAACAAAACCCCCTCAGCTGAACCCGAAATTGTGCCCTTCTGATGCACAGCACTAACAAAACTGCTCAGGAGACTCAGACAAGAGCAGCAGAGTGTGCTGGACACTAGGTAGGTCAGGCCCAGGACATTTGCCACACACATCCACTCCCTCAGGGTACACACACATCGACGCCAACACTACTTAGAGAGAGAACAGCCGAACGCAAACAACTCAGTAACAGCTTCTCTCCCTAATCAAGAGCTGCAGATATTCTGCACAGAAAGAAAATATAGAGAAGCATCTTAAAGCGAATGCCCAGATAAAAATTATGAAGCAGCTCCTAATTAGCCTTTCTTTCCCAGGGGATGACCAGCAGCACACTTTAACATCATACATGCATTTCAAAGGAAGCTGTTATTAAGAAGCCACTTCTTACGGCTCTCTGAAGATTATATATTTATATTACATCTGTATCATTAACTGAGCAGTTTTTTTCATGTAATTGTTCAGCTACTGAAGTAACAATGTAATTGCTGTTATTCCCCTCTCCAAAAGGCACAACATACTATTTTTACAGGGATGACTTATCGGTCCTTCACCATGTATCTGCACACTGAGACAATGGGATGTTCCTGCAGTGCAACCAGATACAGGAACCTCTTACTCCCACCTTTGTTTCTGCTGTCTCCAGCTATACTATGGAACACACACTACAGTGACTTACAGGGCAGTGAAATCCGGTCTTTCAGAGGAGTTTTTGGAAGAATCACCACCAACGAATAGACCTGTTGAGACAAAGAGCTGACTGTTCCACAGCTGCTTGGTGACTGAACTCAACAATCTTTGCAGGGATGGTGTGTGGTGTCGCACACTCCCTTGATGTCTTGGGACAGAGGCACAGACCCCCTGATATTAAACCCTGTGCAGATGTGAGGGCCCCACACCTCACCCCCATCAGCACACAAAGGCTGGTCACTGAGAAAGAACGCAGTGAAGAACATCTCAGTTCAGCTGGAATTCAGCTGCCACAGCTTATGCCACTCCCACCGCACCTTTATTGCTTTGGCTGCAGCATGAGAAGACCCCATGCTGCACTGTAGCAGGCAGGAGGAGGGCTAGGGCTTTATTATACACAGATCATCCTCCTTGCCCCATTTAGAAAATACAAAGAAGCTACCAGAGTGCCTAACACATGCCCAGTACTTACCAGAAAGAAAAAACAGGAGCTGGCAAGCCAAAAGTGTCTCCCCCCATGGCCATAGATGTTGAAGTCTTCTGCTGAGAGGTGGGCATCCGGGTACAGGATTTCCAGGGTGCCCTAGGAGGGAAGTGGCACCAACATGATTCTGTTATAGGCAGCATCCTCAACAGAATGGGTGTCTGGACAAAGGATACTCTGTTGAAAGAAGTTCAGACAAAGCTGTCCCTGCCACCTAAGATCCAACCATTGCTCTGCTTCGACCAAATTAAGCTCACACAGGAGAAGAGGAAGAAACTGAAGACAAGTGAGGGAAAAAAAGTGGCAAAAATCGGCATCTGAAGGAAATGAACATCAATGACATCCCAGTGAGAGACTGAATGAAAGGATAGGGGGATGCAAGCAGTTGTCTATTTGAAATAGAGTTCCATCTACATTTTCATCACTAAAGTAGACCTTCCCTGCTGAAACATACAGAATACAAAAGGCTACATTTGTGCAAGAGCTGGGAAAGGACACTGTCTCATTTACTTGAATTCCTGAAAAACAGTATGAACAGAAGCTCCCATACAGACAGTAGAGAGAGAAAAGTGCTTGTAAGCACCACGGAACCCAGATATAGCTCAAACACTTGATACTTAATGAGGCTCCTCCAGCATTATCATGTGGCAATGATCAGCTCGCTGCCTCCGCAAGCAAGAGCCTGGTCACAGAACAAAGATCTGTGTGTTATTCTGGTCCCTGCCCCAGGAACAGAGACACAGAGCTGACCGCTTACGTACTGAGGAGAATAAACCCAGACACACACTGCATTGTTCAGAGAGATGGAGACACAGCTAATCAACTGAGCTAGCAAGTCAGATGCTAGTTTGAAGGGAAGCAGGAGCTCTCAGCTCTCTAAGACACAGGAGACAATGCCCTAACCCAGCAAGCACACCTCACATCTAGTTTTGATGGCACTTGAGGCAACATTCAAAACTTGTGGCTCAGATACCGAAAAACTCTCACTCCTGTTCCAAGATTCACTAAACAAAATACTCCAGCTAAACCTCACCTCATGTCTTGACCTTGGCAGAGCTGTTCCTGCCATGAAGAGGACAGGGAGATACAGTCTGGTGTATGCTCTGGGGACCCCGCTACACTGCCACAAACATCCAGTCTTCCCCCAAAATCTCAAGAGAACAAAGCTGCCATTTTGCAGATAGGAGTCCCACACCTAACTGCCTAACTCCAAGCAAAGCCCCCCTCTTGTGCAAAGACTAATTCTCTGTTCCAATATACTCACCTGGGTGACAGAATATGCCAGAGACAGCACTGTAGTGATTGCTAGAACACGTTTCACACTCGACTTGCTCTCCAGGTGACCTGGAATTAAGGAATACAGAAGTGACTCAGGATGCGATCCCAGCCCCGGTAAAAATCAAAACCAGTAGAGGTCAACATTTGTATTTCCACAGGCCTTCAAGAGATGGTTAGAGCTCACTCAACCACTAGAAACTGCTTCCCTGTTTGGAGACTTGAGCCTCTCACAGACAAAATAATACTTACAAACCAACAGATTTTAACTTGCTTTCCTTCTTCTCACACTAGTATACAGAAAGCAACTAAGTCCTTCCTCCAGGGTTACCAAAATAAAAAAAATAAAAAAAAATAAAAAAAGGAGTCAGAAATTACTCCAGAATCATGTACAGTGATATGTTGCAAAGCTTCTTCTCAGGAAAAAGCTGACGGGAGACTGGGTTAGAGCAGGGAAAAAGGGCTTACATAATTTAGAGAAATCTGCACTGGAATATGCCGGAGCAGACAATCTCCAGAAGCTCCTCCCAACCAAAACTATTCTATGAGTCCTCAAGATATGAAAAAATTAGTGCTCAGATGTCCCACTGGCATATGTAACAGTGACACCTACCAACTCCCCTCTCCTCTACCTCTGACCCACAGGAAGAACTGCTCCAAACAGCTTTTTCATTCGTACAGCTGCAAAAAGTAGAGTTATAGATTGCAGGTACAGTTAAAGCAGCTGAATGAAGCCAGGATGGAATCAAACCAACCAAGGAGGGAATAGAAGGAACCCCAAAAGAACCATCTTAAATAAAATTGGGTTGAAGCAAAGATCTGACAGTTGATCTTTGCATAAGCCTTCTTTACCTGAGCTGTACACTCTTTCACCACATGCATGCAGGACAAAGCAAGCACATATAAATCCTAAAACTGCACAAGCCATTGATCTGTAAATATAATCAGGCTTTCAGCCATTAACTAAAACTGCCCAATTTGTCCTTTGTCTTTATTCTAGAGCTCTTTCATTTCATAGAATCAGCGTCTCGACAAACTTACAGATGCAGCCTCTGTGGAACAAAAGGGAATAGGAAACATTCAAAGCACTGAAAAACCTCCTGACACGTACCAAAGGCAAGGCCTAGAATCACCACACTCAGCTCAATCGCCAGAAGGAAGAACCTCGTGATCTCCCACAGGATCTGAGGGATAACAGAAACCAGATACACATGATTAGAGAGAGCCACGAACCAGTCGGAAGTTAATACAGCAAAACTCCACTCTCTGCTCCAGGGGATGACAGCCTTTGAATGGAGCAGGTAATTTCCACAAACCTTCCTCGTGTTTCATGGGGATGTTAATAATATGGTTGTTCCAAGCCCTGTCCATGCTTGTGAAACAGAACAGTTGTGTGGGAGCAAGCAAACAGCACGCCTATGGAGAGAGGAAGTGGCCATGGTATGCCACACTTGAGGATCTGTCACTTGTCTTGGATGTGTTCTTTCTGCTCTACTCCCAAGGAGCACAAACCCAAGGAGACCTTAAAAGTATAATATTAAACAGGACCAGTTCTTAAAGCAGTAGATTCTGTAGTACAGTTATGACTGAATAAACTTTGTATTCTGCACTCCAAAGCTACTGGTCCTGAAATCTAAAGTATACTCAACTCTAAAGCCCTCCCACTTGCAGCTTATCATTTTCATTCCCAGGCTTTATTTGGTGAAACAGACCAAAAAGCCAGCAGGTGAGGCAACTTTCCAGGTAGTCATGCAATAAGTCAGTGCCAAACCTAGAAAAAGAACCCAGATTCTGGCTTATCCCTTTCCTCTGAACACTGAATAGCACTCTCTTGAAGACACACAATTGTTTAAGTGGCATTTGGTGAGACGCTCCTAACCTCAGAAAATACACAGTGTGCATATACATATATACAAATGAGAGAGAGAAAACAAAAGAAACATAATAGACATGATAGAACATATGTTTTTACAGGAAAAATTGACCGAGTATCTGTCTTAGTGCATGACTTCCCAGCAAGGTGCACTTAGCAGCAACATCAACACAGCTGAAGAAAAGCACCTTCTCATCTCTTCTCTATTATTCAAGTCCTGGACCTACATCTATTCAACAGATGTGAATTAAAATGCTCCAAACATCCAGCCACACACAAGCAGTGCATTGCAACACAGGTAAAATTAAAGGGAAAAGCAAAAGAACCACACTGATCCCAGAGAATAAAGCCAGAAGACCTGTACTCTGTGGGTAGCTCTTGTTCCTCTAACAGATCAAGAACTAGAGAGTTTTTTGTTTTAGGTAATATTCTGCTACAGGTCAAATGACTGCAAAGGAACAGCACATACAAAGCCGTTTCCTGTTTGCTAAGGGCTCGTCCTGTGCTCAGAGTGGCTGCAAGGACATTCAGTTATCAGTCTCAAAAGGGAATTTGAGGGAATTTATTTGCTTTCAATACAAAAGAATTAAATATTTTTCAAAGAGCTACTCAAATATTGCAAGAGTAACAAAGGCCAGGTCTGGCCTATCCACTAAAGTTCTCTGAATGTTTAGCTCCTGCAAAGCAGAATCATTCCATCTCTACAACAGGAAAGGTTTGCTGCCAGCACTTGTGTATCTATTTTAGGAAGTCCATTGTTTTACAGTCCTGGATGTTGTGATCATTTGGATACAGCTATCAGAACAGGATTCCATAGTAGATATAGCTATGACTACTGGAAAAAACCACATTCTTCTTGTATGCATACAAAAGGAAAGACTTAGCAGATTGCTGTGTCCAGAACCACACAAAGCAGAGACTCTAAAAATCAGCATTTTACCTACCTTATCAGCGACTGTGGCAGCATCAGAGGCACTCACAGTCATGGAGACAACAGCACGGGCAATACCAACTAAAGCCACCACAAATACCTACACAAAAAGATATCAAAAGTGAGCTCATGTCAAAAGGCATATACACAGCAGTGACCAGAAACCCTTTTGGAATATCACTTCCAGGTCGGCTTTCAAGTCTGACAATGCATACTAAGGATTTTTTGTAGCAGATTAGAGCTAATTTCCCAAAGAAGATTCCTCAGGCCTGTTAGAGGTAGGAGTACTGGCTTAGAATTTAGGAAGGAACAGATTTCCTCGGCTGTCAGATTAAACAGCTCCAAAGAGGTTTCATCCACTCCTTCTAACAGCACCTTTACAGGCAGTCTTCCCACCCTTTAATCCACTGGGGCGGGGGAGTAGAAAAAACAGACAAAAAACACATCCCTCCAAATTACAATATCAAGTGCTTGATATGACTGAATAAACACACCACATCAGATAACAGAAGCCACTCAATTCCAGCTACTACACTTCAGATCTGTGATAAAACTAAAATCTGCAGTTCTCTCAACAATGACAAAGCTGAGGAACACAGAGGAAAAAAAACCTCAGTTGCAGCCAACTTAAAACATCTTACCTTGCTGCACAGTGCAACACAGAGATACCCAAATCAGCTCATGTACCATTTAAGCATGACAGTGTGGAGCTCAGCAAGGCTAATTTACCAACTCCCTTGCTGTCACAGCCATACTATGCAATTAAGAGCTCAGCTGGATGTATCCACCCTCCGCTGTGCAGACTTACCCTCTAAGAAAGCAGATTTTTCCAGATAAAATTCTCCAAGTCAGAGGCTAATTCTAATGATGCAGGTAAGAGACAGCTAAATCTATTACAGAATGAAGAGAGTCCAAGCTGATTCCAAGGTGACTGGAGAATAGAAATGACCAATAAACTACCTACAGCTGATTATTTCCTCCCTGGAAGAAGAAGGGATGCAAATGCCATGAAAGAAGAAGAAGAATACAACACTTCTCCTGGGGTGGAAAACTCTGGGACAAAACACTGACAAAAAAGAAAGGTCCCTGAATATATGGTGTTCTGAAGCCGCAACAACTCATTGGAGCTGAAAACACACCCTTTTTGCTTCCTCTCTAAGTAGGTAGAGACTCTTCCCAATCTATTAACTTTGTTTTAATCACTGACTCCACAAGAAAGCATTCCTTCAAGGCATGACAAACAGCTGTTTGAAAGGAAATCCTCACCAAACACACTTACATCCTCATTTCCCAGTAACATACTCCAGAAGATCAAACTGCATGAGTTTTCCTCTAAGGCTGTTTCATCACCTTCTGCTTCTCACGCTGTTTTGAAAAAGCCAACCTCATACAGCCAGTTCCCTTTTTTCTTCCCTTTGGTTTCTCGGAGTTTCGCTTTTCAAAACCTTTGGCATGAACTTTCTACTGAGCCACGTGCATTAAACGAAGCAAGAAGGAAGATTTAAATTCTGATTGGAAACAGTTGGTACTATTTTTAAAAGTTTGGAGCACTTGTGTGTCTACCTGGTCATCCACAGCTATGCACAAGCCCAGCAACCACACTCCAGGCCTGAAAGAGCTAACAAGACTTTCCACCAAAGATTCAGTTGAGGCCACTAGCCCAGATTAGGTTTTGATGCTTCTTGGGTTTTGCCATGCCAGTACCTGTACACAGCCCAAAGAGGATGCCTCCCATCTAATCCAATTCAAACACACATTTACTTCTACAGCCTGGACCAATCTCACTGAGGAAGAGAAAGCTCATTATGCTACACACCGAGGCAAGCCAAGATCTCAAATAGCACCTATGATAAAGCTTCTGAACTACATTTTTAAACAAATCCAGGTAGGTCCTTAGCTGCATTTAGTGTGAGCAGTACCACAGATAATAGGTATGAAGTTCAGGGATTTCTATAAAGACTACTTTAACATGATCAACAGTTGCCCATGCCTCCTTACGCTGGGGAGAGGAGAACAGACAAGGTCTTACACATTTGAGAGTCGTAACTGTATCATCTGTATATTCTGTTTCCACCTTAAGAAGTAACAAGAACATCATCAAGTCAGCAGTCACTTTGATATGACAGGAAAGACACTAACAGAGTTGTCTACATTTCCAGACTAACCAGAACCTTGTCACATCACCAGTTGCTACAGCAGATGACCAAGCTTTCTAACAGCTTCAGGGATTCTCTGGAGTTTCATTTTCCCTACCTCAGTGAGAAGCTGGTTTTGTGTCACATGTGACTGCAAGGAATAGGAAAGTGAAAAGTGCTAAATTCTGTGACAGAAAAGCAACAAAAAAAGGGGAAAGAAGAAAAAAATCACCACATGAGAACAAAATCCACCCAATTCCAGCAGATATGGTCCCAGAATCTGTGAAAAGCAGAATTCAGACAGTGAAAAAAAATACTAAAAATCTGTGTCTACTTCTTGTAGTATACCTTCAACTAAAACCAGACTATATCCCTGTGAGGTCTGGTCTACAGTCTATACTAGTTCAGTGATATTGTTCATGAGTGATAATAAAAAACACTCACTCTTCCGTTCAAAAGCACAGAGCAGTACTCACTAGTATGTAGAATGTAGTGAAGATTGGGCTGGAAGTGACCCGGATTTTGGCCCTGGCAGAGGGCAGCTTCCAAAGAAGAAACATAAAGAAAAGCACATTGGGAACCAGGAGCAGAAGATCCCAGTAGCGGACTCTGCAAGAAGTAAATAAAACAGATTTTTTTTTTTTTTCCTCCCCTGTTCTTCAGCATCTAGAAGGCATCAGCCCCAGTTCCTTCTCAACCAAACCGAGAAAGAAAGCTCTTTCCCCTGGCCCAGGGCCAGACCGTGGTCCCATTTCCTCCATCTCACCTGGATTTCCCAATGTCCTCATAGAGCAACAACAGGCACTTGTGTGGCACAGTGATGTTGGTGTCGTTGATTGCCTGCGTTGTTGTCGGGGTCAAAGTCGTCACATTATCCACTGCTGTCACCAGGGCAGTCGAATGTGTGATGTTGTCAGACACGGATAATCTCATCACAGACATCCTGCCTTCCTTCTGGTCCAGGTCAAACACAGTGCAAGACAATCACAGCAGAGATAAAAAGCAACATTAGATCAGTTGTGAGTCAGAGTTAAAACACACATCCCTGCCATTAGGTTCCTGCATAACTGCTTCCTGCTTGTTACAGCAAATTATCATCATCAGAAAGACTGTATTGCACAATGAAATGCCACCTGCCCTTACTCTGCACACAGCCATTAGGGTGGACAGCACAAAACCACTATCTTATATCAGAGTAACAACCACCTTCAAAATAGTGTAATACTACGCTGGATTAAATTTTGTGATTTTTTTTTTTTTGAGCTTTGGCAGATTCATAGAAGAAATCAAGACTCAGCAGCAATATGTGGCATCATCAGATGGAGACAAAAACTCTGCTGTACCAAAACATGAATGATCATTCTAGCTCCCAAGATCAATAAGTTATAGTCATTGATTTGATTTAAACTACTGCAAACTGAAAATCAAGTCCCCTACCTAAAACCCATTGCTGTTACCAACCCCACAGTCTGAGAGCAGGGAGAGCCTCACATACTTTTACCTTAAGGGACTGTACAGACTTTATCTTCCAAAACCAACACTGGCAAAAGCCAAGATTCAGCATTTTTCTTCCAGCCCTCTACAAGACACAACTGTTTTGATTTTAAGCAGAACAGTAAGGCTGTGAAAAGACAGCACCTTTCTAAAACCCTGTTAGTGTAAAGGTCTCCAACAACTTCTTTACGTCCACCAGTCTCAACTGCACTGCACTTCTCAGACACAGATCAGCAGCATCACCACTGGTAACACTCACAAACCCAGAACCAGACGCAGCTCTACCTCACAGGTTTCCTAAGGTCAAACTATCAGGCAGCAGAGCACTACAGTCAGAATCAGAAAATCGTGGCACTAAGTTCTTTCACCTGCCCTACCTTATACCTCTCTGACAAGACAGAACTTCCCACTCCCCGGATGAAACTTCTTTGAGCTGCCTTCCCAGAGAGAACATCCACTTTTTTTCTGCCATCTGTCCATCCCCCAGGCCCTACACTGCTGGGGTATTAACTGTCCCTCCAGAAATTAAAGGGAAACTCTGTTCTGCCGTCCATAAAACTCCACACACTTCATGCCTGTGCCAATGGCTTTGGCAGAAACAACAGTAGCAGCAGTTTATCCCTCTGCTGGTTCTACGATCACCTTGGAACCTTAAGTAGGCTATGGCATACGGTACTTCAGAGCATTATTTAGTATATACTAAAGTTTTTACCTGATTTACCTTACTAAGCCTGCCCCTGGTTCAATGTATCACCTTGTGCAAATCTCTCCTCTTCCGACCCTAAAACAGCAACCTTCACCTTAAGGCACTTGACTAGCTAATAACTGAATGCAAACACAAAAGTCCTACCATCCCTCCTGGCACTCCCCAAAGAAGCTGTCACGGATGACACACAGATTAAAAAAAAAAAATCTCTCTCATCTGGCATCTTAAAGATGCACATTGCCATAGACAGTGCTCTAACAATCTGTGTGCTAGGGTCAATCCAGGATTCATCTCAAAAAAAAATCTCCCTGACTTTAGCCCTGGTTGGCACAGCAAAAACTGACAGCGTCCATGACAGGACTCGGAAGGTATTTTCCCTGCGAGGTTCTGGGTGACTCACGAGTCAGAAAGAATCAGTCCTGTGTCAGCTGTTGAGCTCTTAGAGTTCAGTAGCACCTTCCCCACAAGCTGCTCGAGACCGTCAGCCACAGACTCTTCTTTCTCTTCAGAGGCTGAAACTCCTCCCAGACCTTCTGAGGGGTAAGGGGATCATCCCAGCCTCAGCTAACAAACCCTCCCTTTGATTCATCCACGCTGACAGATACTCACTGAGCTGGGATTTTCCTTTTGCAACTGCCGTATGTTGTACTACACAAGAGATGTCACATTAAATAAACATAGGCAGACCTGGAAAGATCAACTTTGTGCTGAGATGGCAAAATCTGTGCCTAAAAATCCTAGTTCTAGTAGAGGTTCCAGCAAACAACCTTCATATTCCAGACTTCTCTCTCTTCCCTCCAGCTTCTCGCTCCTCTGAACTGACACCATTGAGAATGATTTTCTGTTAATTTCGCTCCATTCTCTTCCTCTGAAACACCACTGCACCTCAGCAGCAGTGAGAACAAGTATGTTCACATTTGCCTACACAGGAAAAAAATCCTACCTCATATTTAAAAAAAGCTGAGAAAGGGTAGAGAAAAACCTTGCAGAGGATGGGCAGAATAACATCATCAACTGCAAACCACCACAACCTCCTAATATCTCTTCTGGGACAAGGAATTTAATCTGCCTGTCACACTGAAAAGAGCTTGAACATAAAGCTGCAAGAGAGCTACAGGGGAAAAACATCTTCCTTATGAAAAGAACAAACAGGCTCCATTCTTTTCCCCTAGAAGCCACCACTATCACACAACAGCAGCGAGCTGCTGATAAGGAGAGGAGTTGGCCACATGTAACGGAGCTCCAGTCACGAGGTTTCAAAGGGCAAAGCAGAATGAAGCTTACCTCTCAGCCAGGCTGCTCGCTACGGCCTGGAATTAGTATCCTATTCTTCCTCCCAAGACAGAGTATACACAAAGGCATAGCAACAGAACATCCAACACGATAAGAAAGGACAGCCAAAGCCATCAGCCAGACAGCATGATCCCCATGCTTTTCTAATAGCTAAGGCCTACAGCAAGGATGTAGAGAACTGTCCCGTTCCTGTCAAAATTGCCAGAAAAAAATTCCACAACAACAGGACCAGGAACTGATGGCAAGGATCCGGCTAGACTTTGTCATCCCCAGCAACGCTGCTCCTTACAGAACACTGTCCAAACCCTTGCCTTGTCTAGCCCAAATTACATCCAGTCAGCTGAGCATATCCAAGAGATCACTCACCACACCCTGCCTCCACTGGGATGTTCATTTCAGCCAGCCCAACCTACGCAACAGGGGTAAAAAATCACCCCAAAGCCACATAAAAGGAAACCAGTGCCACAGTCCTGGCCCACCTTTTTCTTCTAGCAGCAGCTCTACTCACCATACATCTAAAACCAAAATAAAACGGTTTTCTACACCACAGCTGAAGTCAACCTGACTTGGCTGAGGTCTATCCCCCTCCTCTCCAGGCCCTAGCCTCCCAAGCTGTGTTCAGAGCAAGAACCTCCGCAGGACTCGCAGGCTGCTGGGACGGTCAGTGCTGGGGAAGGCTTTGCTGGAAATGACTGCTGCTCGCCCAGGGGATGCTGCTTCTTGATTCATGCCACCCTAACTGTATCACAGCTCTGAGAAATTCAGGGCTCAAATCACTAGCAATTCTCTGTGCTCTCAAAGCCCAAGCACATAAAGGTGAATTACACACTACCGCAGTTTCAGCTCTAATTTAAAAAAAAATGAAAGCTTTTTTCCTTTCTTTCTGAAAACTGTAATCAGAAAGTCTTGCAAGTACAGATGATACTAGAGTTAAGACTTCTCCTTAAAACACTGAATTCATGCAGAGAAAACCACACTGACCAGATTCCTGCAAAAAAGCCTTTTGTTTCATTTTCCTTTTTAAGATGGCCCTTTAAATCTCACTCTCAGTTACAAAAATTGTATAATGCATTTTACCCTTAGAACAAACTCACAAGAAAAGAATTTCCCATCAGTGACCAAGAACCATTTTCTCTCCCAAGTTTCATTTTCACATTTCATTCTGAACTAAACTTAAAAAGAAAGGAAGTGCAATGCTAAAAACAACCAAAGTAAAACACTGAAAGCAGAAGTATCAGCAATAATCCGAAACTCTCAGACAGAGAATCCCCGTTCAGGGATGTCTTTCAGAAATAAGTACATTAAGTTTTAGACTGGGCAGAGGCGCCTCTGGAGGTTCCCGGGCTGCAAACGCAGGCACAAAGCTGCCTTCCAGGGACGGGCTGCAGCGTTTGCGGAGGGCCGGGCAAGAAACCCGGAGAGCAGCGAGGTCCGTCCCGGCCACCGGCAGCCTCTGGGCCGGTACCGGCTGTACCCAACGCCCGCAGCGCCCCGGGCAACGCACGAAGCTTTCTCTCCTGCTTGTACGCCAGACCCGGGCAGCTGGGGAGCGAGGAGCGGGCTGCTAAAGCCTGGCAGGTCCGTTCCGGCTCCCCGCTCACCCGGGGCCGGCCGCCCCACCGCTCACCTCAGTGGGCCGCGGCCCCCGCCGCAGCCGGGCCGAGCCACCGGGGCAGGCCCCGCCGACCCGGGATGAGGTGCCCCGGTGCTTCTCCCCATAAACCTCTCCCCGTAAGCCCCCACTCCCGGCTCCAGCCCCTCTCCTACCCGCCGCGGGCCCGGCCCGCCCGGCCCTGCCGCCCCGGCGACGGGTTCAGTCTCGGGGGCCCAGCCCCGCCATCCCAGGCCCCGGCCCCGCCGCTCCCCTCAGCCAGGGAGCGTGGCTGAAGAGCGGCTCAAGCAGAGCGCCGCGCGGCCAGGGCAGACGGAGCGGCGCCTTTTCGGTAAGGCCCAGAGGCGCTATTGAGAGAGGGTCCCCGAGAGAAGTGCCATTTCGGCCAATCAGAGACCAGTGCTGTCAAAGAGGCCAAAAGAAATAGAGGCGTGAGCCAATGGGAAGGGGCGGGAGGCGGGACTCTAGGAGCGGGCCCGCCGCGCCTTAAAGGTGCTCTGTCCCCGTCTGGACCCCTGCGGGACAGGGAGCAGGGGACGGGGAACGGAGGGAGGACGACTAGTGGCCCTGGCGGCTGGTGGCCCTGGCGGCGGGTGGCCCCCTGCCCGGCCCTGCAACGGGTGGGAGACTCAAAGCCTCCCCATGAGCCCCAGTGCTGAGCCCCACTGCGCGGAGGCCAGGTCTACCTCTGCCCCTCTCCCTCCCAGGCCCTGCTGCCATCTTGACACCGCACGGGCGGTGGGGAGCTCACAGGGCAGGGCCCAGCAGAAGCCTGGCCTCGCTGCAGGCAGGCAGGGATAGATGTGGCCTGTAAGGTGCTGGGTCTGTGTGTTCCAGCCTGATGGTGGCTTCCAGGCCACCCCAACCCCACACCCAGCGGCCAACACTCCCTGACCCAGCACCCGCATCGTCACACACCTCGGGGGCGCAGAGAAATTAGGCTGCTCCTGTAAAGGAATTATTGATTGCAAGGCAGGAGAGTTAATCATTTTCTCCCATGGACTGGATCCTGTAATCAAGTCCCTGCAGCAGAGAATGATTAACAAGCTGGAGAGTTTGGCTTCTAAGGGAAGTTTGAAGCTGAGGGAATTAGCCCAGCGTAGCTTGGACAACAGCAGCTAAAGGGAAATAGGATAATAATTAGCAGGATTTGGAGGCACAAATACCAGGCAGAAAATAAAAGTTTTGTGTAGCAAATGAGGGAATAACTGGGACAAATGCGCCAAGATTTATGAAGAAAACAACTGGCTAAAAACAGCAGAGACAGGTCATTCTTGGCAGTGAGAGCTGTCTGACTGAGCAGAGTTTCAAGGGGATGCTTCTTATCTGAGTCACTTCAAGGGCTGGAGGATAAACTCTGGCGTGGTTTTCTACCAGTGGTTCACCTGGGGCTCTAGAGATTGCTTCTATAGGGATGAAAGGCTTTTGCTGAGCTCAAATTTGTTGTACAAGGTCTACACCTCTTCAGAAGATCTGTATATTGATCAAGTTTCATGCCCTGCCCTCGCAAACAGGACACACAGCGGGTTTCAGGCCACCCCCCACATACATCTTCCTCAACTTAAATCTGCTTGATCCTCTTCTCAGGTTTGATTTTCCAGTTTTGATGCAGCAAAGCCTCACGGAGGGGACATCCCCTGAGCCCATGTTACCTGCCTCAACCCTGTTCCTCTGATTTTCCACTGGGGTGAACTGGGTTTTTATGCTGATGTCATGCATTTGGAATGACATCTGGAGAAGCCGGTCCTTAGCTTGTCTCTTCTCACACTGTCGTTCAGGCTAATGACATGTTGCAATATTTTGGCACGTTCTATTTATGGATCCGAGCTCAAAGGCTCAGCAGGCACCAGCATCTCTGAGTTACACAAGATACACTTGCGTTTAAAGAGAGGTGGAGTGCTTCTGCCTAAAAAGTGCCTTGGTAACAGGAGTAAAATCCATGTCTTCTCACTTGTAGCCTCAGGCGCTAACTAATCAAACGTGTTACCTCCCACATAACTGTGTCAAAAAGGAGAGACTTTGCTTTCCAATCCACCTGCTCTCTCCATCTGATCCACTCTGAAGCCAAAGCCCAGCCCTTGGGACACCAGCCCCAAAAGCTGTCTCTCGGGCAGAAGATTGCTGGGTGCCACCACAAGGACGGTGACACTTTAGATGTTGCCTTCCTCACTGCTTCCATGAAACAGAGGAGGTGGGGAATCCACACTTATGTCTCCCTTGCATTTACAAGCCACTGCCTTTCAGCCTAAACATGTTGTGTGCAAAAACGTAACTAACTGTGCTCATCCCACCTCCAGGGACTGCCATGTCTCCTTAACTGCACACATCCTCCCACGTCAGCTGAGAACTGCTGCTCTGTGTCATCAGGTGGCGGGGCTCACTCTGTTTGTCCTCGCTGTGTCACCTGGTGTTGCTGGGATGAAGTAAGACAAGAGGTGGTTATCTAGCAGCCCTTGCTGTAACCTTGATGGCCCCAAGGAAGGCTGGCACTTGGTGCTGTACCTTCTGTGATTTGCTGTCCTTTGGCAATCTAACCTGACTTGGAGGCTTCAGAGGCGGAAGGTGCAGTCGTGGTTTCCAGACAGCATTACACCCTCGTATTGCCACCAAATCCCACTATTCTAGGACATTTTTATCTCTCTAAAATACTCTTTAAGCTTTTTATTAGATCAATCTACTGGACAGGATATTACTTCTTATCCAAAACTGCTTTGCTGTTGAGCAACCCCAGAGACAGATGTGGCTGCCTTGTTTCAGAGCTGCTCTACCAAGCTCCTGATTTCTATCATTGGGCACAAATTTGCACCATCTGGGCTGCACTCCAATGTTTCTGTCTGTCTTTTCACGAGAAATCCAGTCCCCAGGAGTCCTCCTGTGCTGTAAGCCACCAGTCTGCAAAATCCCAGTGGCGTGTTTTGATACAGTCAGGAGTTTGATGCTCAGCTGTGACCACCCCAGTGAGAGGTCCGTGCCCTGTCTGCATCCCAGCCCTCTCGCCTGCCCCAGTGCCTCCTCTCCAGCACAGCAGAAGGAGCCCTGTCCCATGCATGGTGGCCACCTGATTTTAGGGATGGTTTTAGCTGCCCAACTTCAGCTCTTCCCAAAGAGACCGAGCACCTTGGCTCAAGCACAGGACCCAAAGCTGGCACCCAATGAGAGCAGTGAAAACACAGACATGGTCCATGGCCTTGTGGGATGAACAGACAGAAGAGCTGTGTGTCCATCCAGCCGTCCAGTGCCTGGAGAGACAGTGGCACCCTGTGGTGAGACCAGTTCATCACAGCGTGTCACCTGGCTCTTGTCAGACAGCACCACCTTACACGGGCCCTGGGCTGCCTTCCTTTAAGCCACTGTGGTCTCCAGTAGCCTAAAAGTGGGAGCATTTCTGAGGGTCCCTGATTCACGCTGAGCACCAGCCAGCTCCCTGTCATCTGGCACAGAGACGAGGATGAGCCACTCTCCTATTTATATCGTGATGCTCCTGCTTTGCTATATTTGTTCTGGGCTGAATCATCCCGCTGGGCTCCTGGAAGACCCATTTCAGGTCTACGACTGTCAGCTGCCTCTTCAGTCACTTTTGCTTCTGGTGTCTCCTGTTCCAGGGTTACTGTCCCACCTCTGCCTGCAGCCAAGAGCAGAAATAGCCTGTTATTAAATAGGGGTCAGAAACCCTTCAGAGAAGACAGATCTCCAAAATCCAAGCCACTTCCTATTATGCAAGACCCCGTGGCCCAGAATGGAGGTGTTTCACCGCCTTGTCGAACATCGGCCCGTTGCTTTTTTTGTCTATCTAAATTCTTCTTCCAGTTTCTGTGGGACAGGTGATCTTCTTCCGTTCCTCTCCCAAACAGCATCGCTTGCTGCGCCAAGCAGCTGTGGAGACAGATGTGCCTGTTCTCCAGAATGGCTCTGATTAGCTCCCCGTCACTGCTACTACATACACTCAAGCCAAAAAAAACCCAAAAAAACCCAAACCCCAAACACCAGAACCCATTTCCCACCTCTTACAGTTTAAAGCTGGTTCAAGGGGCTCTCCCGTGGGTCAGTGTCAAACCTGGTCAGGCTTGACTTTAGCCGCAGAAGAGGCAGACAGAAGGACACGAACACGGGAATCCACAGCGGGATCTCTCCCGTGGCTCGTGTTCCCGGCAGGAGGGGACCCCTCCCCCCTCCCGCCCAGCGACAAATGCCCAAATGTTTGCCAACGCCTGCCCCTGCTGCCCACCAGCCTCCCGAGCCCCCTCCGGCCGTGCCCGGGGGTGGCCGTGCCCCATTGCCCGCCGCCTCATCCATATTCATTAAGCGGGGCGGGGCCCGCCTCGGGGCCTATTCATTATTCATAAGGTTTCGCGCGCTTTTGTTGACCACGTGGGCTCGTTTTCGCGCGCAATCCGGCTGGGCAGGAAGAAGCAGCGGCGATGGCGGTGAGCGGCCGGGGCCGGGAGCGGGTCGGGTCGGGTCGGGTCGGGGGGCGGACCCCGGGTCCCCCCCGTCGCGGGCGGCTTGGCACGGCGGCGGTGCGGGGTCCGATGGGGATTTGGGGGGAGAAAAAGAGGGGAGGTAAATGGGGGTGCGCTCGCCGGGGACACCAGAAATGCCGTGGTGGGAGGTTTCTTATGGGCTCTGCACCGGAGCAGAGAACCGGCGGGGCTGGGGTCGGGATGGGGGAGCGGATCGAAGCCCTTCCCGCCCCCCCCCTGCTCCAGCTGCGCTGGGCTGGGGGGGGCGCGTTTCCCCCCCAGCGCTCCCATGCGTTTCCCTTGTCGTTTGCTAATTATTTTTAGTCATCCGCCTTTTCCTAATTCATAGCCCCCCTTCTGCCCCCCCGCCCCTATCGCGGAGGCCCCTGGAAGCGCTGCCTCTCCTCTCCCCCTGGTGCCGGGGGTGGGGGGGAATGCCCCGACCCCCCCCCCCCCCCCCCCCCTTATTTTTCCCTTTTCACTTCGTTTCCTTTCCTTTCTTCTTTGTGAATAAAAGACTGGGGAAAACAGAATG